ATGGTTTTGATCAGCACCGTCTTCCGGGTGTGGCTCTCTGCACTTGGATCTGGCTCTGAAACTAAGGAGGAGGGAGGTTTGAGGGAGAAAAGGCTCAGCATTCAAGGCCCCTTACTTCACCCCATCCAGGGTCATGCAGGGGACTGAGGATTACAGCTCCCAAACACCCAGCAGCTCAGCTATCTTCTTTCACTCATACGCCCATCATGACAGACCTCTGGCTACCAGCTGGGAGAAATTAGAAAGAAAGGAACGTGGAAGGTGGGGAGAGCAAAGGAGCCTTTGGGTCTCTTTCCAAGAAAAAGCAACTGAGGCTAAGGCCCGATTGCCTGCACAACTTGAGATAAGGGAACCTCCAAAGCCAAGCTTGTTCCCATCAAGCCAGGTTACTGCTTGGTAGAAACAAAGCATGTGCAAAATATGGCCAAAAAAGATGCTTGGCTCCACCTAGAACAGGGGTAGGCAACCTTGGCTCTTTTATGACTCGTGGATTTCAACTCCCAGAATTCCTGAGCCAGCCACGCTGAGGGGAAAGGGAGAGGTTTCCAAGCTGAGCCATGCTGGCTCAGGAATTCTGGGAGTTGAAGTCCATGAGTCATAAAAGAGCCAAGGTTGCCTACCCCTGGTCTAGAATATTGTTGACTTCTATGCCACTGCTACCATCTCTTTCAGAAGCCCATAATTTTGTCCAGGGCTTTTTTTCTCATAGAACGTCCAGAACGGAGTTCCGGCACCTTTTTTGGATGGAACCTTGTAGGGTAGGCAAGGCGGGTTGTATGACGTGTGTGAGTTCCGGCACCTTTTTTTTTTTTTTTTTTTTTACAAAAAAAGCATTGATTTTTGTCAAACAACACAAAGCATGTGGGTGCATTGAAGACCCATGCTGGCTATTGACTCACCTGCAGTTCTGATGCTGAAAGACGCCATAGATTGGACAGGCACTGCAATCCTGCAGGGAACATACAGGCCAGTGAGCATTACGGAAAGCTCTACAAGTTAATCTCCAAACTTTCTCTTTAAAATGGCTTTTCTGCATCCCTCCCAGGAAAGGAGAAGGCCGCCCTCCTCCTCACATACTCCTATAAAATGTTATTTAGAACTAGGTAAAAATAAGGACTATCTTTCCCAATGCTGAAACTATAACCAAGACAGCTGCAGATCAACCTTCCGGTGAACCTAAAAGATGAGCAGGGCAGGACCTGACCCCTGTTGACCTACCGACTTTCCTCTCCTTCCAACAGCTTGCGGTAAGTCGCAATTTCAATGTCAAGAGCCATCTTGACATTCAGCAGGTCCTGGTACTCCCGGAGGTGCCGAGCCATCTCTTCCTTCATGTGATGGATCTCCTGCTCCAGCCGCGCCACTGTCTCTTGGTAGGAGCCCACTTCGGCTCCATATTGGTCCTCAAGATCTCGCATCTGTCTCAGCAAGGCTTCATTCTAACAAGATGAAGAGCGAGCAGCACCAAGACTGAAATTCATGAAATGGATACTGACCCCAAAAATCTCACTCATTCACAAGCAACTAAGGTGATCCTGGGGGGTTCAGAGGTAACTTCTGGTCAAAACAGACTATAAAAGCAGTTGAATCCAGACAGCTTGATAGCACTCCAGGTGGCTTCCCCTCTTCATTTTACCTTATTTATTGCATTTACAGTCTGCCTTTCAACTATAAATGGTGCTGAAGGCTACCAACAACCAAATATAAAAATCTGATTAAAATACATCAACTGAATTAGAAAATGAACAGCAGCTACTTACCCAAACCTGTTTCAGTTACTGACAAATCATCCTAAAGCCCCCAAAACTGCCTGAACAAGATCTTTGCCGCCACCAGGAAGTTGCAGAAGGCAGAGTCAATTTAGTGATTCTAGAGCCTGGGAGGAGCCATCACCAAGTAGGCCCTTTTTGTATTCCTGTCAAACTTACTCCAGTAGGGATGAAGCAGAGTCAATGTGATTTCCACCTGAAGATCTTAAAATCCAGGCAGGCTAAGTTGAAGGAAGGTGGCTTGATCCTGTATCATACAGGGTTTTTTGCTGGTCATAGACAGAATCTGCAAATGGCCCAGTAGCAGTGGTGGGATTCAGCTGGTTCGCATCAGTTCAGTAGAATTGGTAGCTAATTTTTTGTTGGAGAACCGGCTGATGCCCTAGCCCTTTTTCGCAAGGCCCAGAATTGACCACCAGAAGTGAGTAGACGCCACTCCTGGAAGTCCATTCTGAGCTGGGGAGGCCTCCCAGGCCCAGAACGGCCCACCAGAAGTGGCGTCCACACACTTCTGGCAGTCAGTTCTGGGCCTGGGAGGTCTCCCTGGCTCAGAACGGACTTCCGGAAGTGGCATCCACGCAGAGAACTGGTTGTTCAGATATTTGAATCCCACCACTGCCCAGTAACCAATGAAGTCATAATTTGATTGCTGTAATCAATCTTTCTTCTGGGATTTCACCATGCAGAGCAAGGCATGGTGAAGCTAAGACCTGTGGCTTTCCCTCTCTTGTTCTTTGACCTATGCTGCACTCTGCTACTGCCCCAGGTTGAAGCAGGATGGGTGTTTTACTCACTGTTCCTTTGAGTCCATCCACCTCACAGGTCAGGGTCTGGATCTGACGGCGAGATTCGTTCATCTCCTGTTTGGCCTGACGAAGGGCCTCGTGATTCCGATTGGCTGCATCTGACAGGTCGGCAAACTGTAAACAATAACAATAGCATTTAGACTTATATACCACTTCACAGTGGTTTACAGCCCTCTCTAAAGTGGTTTACAGAGTCCACATATTGCCCCCAACAATCTGAATCCTCATTTTACTAATGCCGGAAGGATGGCAGGCTAAGTCAACTTTGAGCCAGTCAGGATCGAATTCCTGGCAGTGGAATGCAGAGTTAATCTGCTATACCAGTGGTGGCGAACGTATGGCACGGGTGCCAGAGGCCTCTCTGTGGGCACGCGCGCCATCGCCCCAGTCCTAGGCCTTCAGCTGGGTTTTATAAAACCTTTTTGCTTTAAGCCTCTGCCGCCATGTACAAAAAAAAAAGGTTCAATCAATCAGTCAATTTCAACTTCTCGCGGGAAAAAAAGATCTTGCAAAGTTGGAATTGATTGATTGAACTTTTTGGTCCCACCCAGTCTGCCGTTACCACCGCAGCCACGCCCACCCAATGGGCCACACCCAGCCAACAGGCCACACCCACCCGGCATCCGACGATGCATAAGTGGGTTTTGGGTTGCAGTTTGGGCACTCAGTCTCTAAAAGGTTCGCCATCACTGTACTATACTGCGTTCTAATCATCGCGCCACTACCCAAGAATTTGGGAACATCAAAAGAAGGGAAAGAAGGAATCCCAAAACAACTCCTAACCAGAACCTGCCTGAACTCATTCACAATTATCTAGCTGGAGGGAAATTAATAACACAAGCCACACAAGCCACAAGTCCATATAGAACTCTCCTCATGAGCCTCTTCTCCCTCTGTGGAAATCTCACAAGAATAGTCAGGGACCGCAGCATTGGACCCATTCTTTATACAGGTAATCCTCAAGTTACGACCGTAATTGAGCCTGCAATTACAATCGTTAAGTCATGATGATTGTAAAGCGGGTTGCTATGTGACCATACCCAATTTTATTACCTTTTTTGTGGTCGTTAAGCAAACCTATTGTTCGCTATGCTTGATTTTGTTGGAAATCAAAAGTAAACCCTGTTTCTGACCCATGCATCATGAATCACAGTCATGTGGCTGTGGGGTGCTGCAAATGGCCATAAATGTGGGGTGGCTGCAAGCGCCAAAACTGTAGTCATGTGATTGTGGGGGAGGGGAAAATGTCAGAACTTTGACACAGAGTCACAAAGAGTTTTTTCAGGGTCTGTCATAATCTCAAACAGTTGCTAAGCAACTAGTCGAGGGGTAGGCAACCTTGGCTCTTTTATGACTCGTGGACTTCAACTCCCAGAATTCCTGAGCCAGCCATGCTGAGGGGAAAGGGAGAGGTTTCCATGCTGAACCATGCTGGCTCAGGAATTCTGGGAGTTGAAGTCCACGAGTCATAAAAGAGCCAAGGTTGCCTACCCCTGAACTAGTCTTAAGTCCAGGATTACCTGTAATATTCTACAGCAGTGGTTGGAAATAAGATCTTTCCCTCAGTGAGGAAAATCTGGTATGCAGGAAGCCAACATCACCAGCCTGATTTAAGCCTCTCCCTCTACTTTCTTTGACCCATACCACAATCTGCAAACTATACATTAATAGAGCTCACTCATTACAAGCAGCAACCAAGCCACGCTCTTACATTAGTGCATGCATCTAAACAGCGACAAACATGTTGCGCCACATGTCAAGGAAACCCTCCAGAAGTCAGAGGGGGTCAACCTGTACACTGAGTGGTTTATTATTTTGCTGTATCAATACGTTTTATGGCAATAAGAAAATTCCCTTTCCACTAAGCAGCTATTTTCTTTATGCATCAGAAGAGACAGGTTTATTCTGTGTTAGGTCTCCCCCTACTGGGTGAAGAAAAAGCCTACAGCGTTTAAAAAGAATTACTCCTGGAAAAAGAAGTCACTGAGGCAGTGGTGGTGAACCTATGGCACGCGTGCCAGAGGCGGCACTCAGAGCCCTCTCTGTGGGCACGCGCATCATGCCCCGGAGATGGCAACTGTCCCTCTTCAACCAGCCGCCCGCTAACTCGCCGAGGTCCCATGTGGCCGAATGCATCCCAGCACAGCTGGTTTCCCTCCCCCCCGTCCCATTCCTCCTGGCCTCGCATGTTCTCCTTTTCCCGGGCACGACCCACTGCATCACCTCCTCAGCTGTCAGCCGGTCTTCCAGCTCAGAGGCAGCTTCTCTGAACTGCTGCTGGTGGGCTGCAAAGTCCCAGAGTGCACCAGTCGAGGGGCCGGCAGATTGTGGTTGCTGATGGACACTGTCGGCCCCATGCGCTCGCTGGCCTCTGTGTGCGGGGGCCGATGGTGTCAGGCAGCAGCTGCCCCAGCCCCTGCCTCACCTTGCCCTGCGACAATGGCACCCCTGCCCTGCCTCACCTTGCCTTGCCTCACCCCGCAGGACAAGCCTCCTGCCCACCGCCCCACCTGCCAGAAACCCCCTGGATTTCCCCCAACCCTGCCCAGCCCCCACAGGCATCCCTCCCCATGAGCAACATCGAGGTGACCACGCCCACCTTGGCCACACCCACCCAGTCTGCCATGACCACCACAGTCACGCCTACCCAGTGGGCCACGCCCACCTAGCACCCGACAATAAATAAATAAATGGATTTTGGGTTGCAGTTTGGGCACTCGGTCTCTAAAAGGTTCGCCATCACTGCACTGAGGTGTGACTCAAAATCCTTTTTAAAAAAAAACAACATTTAGCTTGCCTGGAAGTTCCAGGACTGAAATGCTTGCAGAGGCTTGAAGAGACCCATTTTGCTCCAAAACACAAACATTAACGGGGAAAAGGGGGATTGAGGATTCCATTGTGTCCCTTAAAAATGTGAAATGTTTTAAATGTTTTCACCCTACAGACTTCAGGAGATTCTGGGGCCTTCACCCAACTAGTTTTCAAGTCAGTCCCTGCACTTGTTGCTTGAGTTCTGGCTCAGAGTTATTTATTTATTTATTTAAAACATCTATATAGGAACTTATAACCAACTCTGGGCACCTGCCACTCAAATGTGGTTGCTGGACGCTGATGCCCCCTCTTCCTTTTAAAAAATGAAAAAGAGCTTCTGGGATGAACACAACAGTTTTGCATTGAGATTTAACTCGTAACACTTGTTTTGCTACCCGCTGTTCATTCTATAGTATGGGTAGTCCTTGAACTAATCAAGGAGAGAAGCAACCTAGAACTAAGTAGAAACTTCCTGACAGTTAGAACAATTAACCAGTGGAACAACCTGCCTCCAGAAGCGGTGAATGCTCCAACATTGGAAGTTTTTAAGAAGAAACTGGACAGCCATTTGTCCGAAATGGTATAGGGTTTCCTGCCTGAGCAGGGGATTGGACTAGATGACTTCTAACGTCCCTTCCAACTTTTATTATTATTATTATTATTATTATTATTATTATTATTATTATTATTATTATTTACAACTACAACTGAGCGCAAATTTTCTGTTGTTAAGCAAGACATTGAGTTTTGGCCCCATTTTACGACCTTTCTTGCCACAGTTGTTAAGTGAATCATTGCAGCTGTTAAGTTAGTAATGTGGTTAAGTGAATCTGGCTTCCCCTTTGACTTTGCTTGTCAGAAGGTCACAAAACCATGTGAACACGACCCCCAGGACCCTGCAACCGTCATAGATATGAGGCAGTTGCCAAACGTCCTAATTTTGATCGCATGCCCGTGGGGATGCTGCAGTGTTATAAGTGTGAAAAACGTTCATACGGCACTTTTTTCAGTACTGTTGTTAACTTTGAACGGTCACTAAATGAAAGGTTGTAAGTCTGCATTAGCATTATTTTGTTAAAAAAAATATCTTAGTCTTTGGGTTTTGCACGTAACAGAAATTGGAATGCTTCAGGAAAGCAGCTCCACAGAAAAGCTAAAAGCTGCTAACATCGGATGTTCTTGCTTTGACAAGATATGGAGATGCAGCCATTTTCCTTCTTATGTTTTACTCTTAGAATTAAGAGTTAGAATTAGATGATACTGGGGGGGAGGAGGAGGAGGAATGTGCATGGGAGTTTAGTTAGACATAACAATATGTAACTAGGGTGAGAACCAAAGTTTTTTGAAATAAGAGATGATAAGAAATGGCGGGTTGAAGAACTGGAGGGAGAGCCTGCATTTCAAACTAATTGGAGAACGTGATTTATGACTGTTAACTAGAGGAGGAAATTGTGCTTTGATACTATGTGCTCAGGGGAGGGGAATTCAGATTTTGGCTTTGCCTATGTACGTGCCGATAGCATAGCTCAGTGATGGCAAACCTTTTAGAGACCGAGTGCCCAAACTGCAACCCAAAACCCACTTATGTATTATCAGGTGCCGCGTGGGTGTGGCCCGTTGGGTGGGCATGGCTGTGGTGGTAATGGCAGACTGGGTGGGACTAAAAAGTTCAATCAATCAATTCCAACTTTGCAAGATCTTTTTTTTCCTGCGAGAAGTTGAAATTGATTGATTGATTGATTGAACCTTTTTTTTTTTGCACACGGCGGAAGCCTAAAGCAAAAAGGTTTTATAAAACCCAGCTGAAGGCCTAGGACTGGGGCGATGGCGTGCGTGCCCACAGAGAGGGCTCTGCGTGCCACCTGTGGCAGGCATTGCCATAGGTTCGCCACCATGGGCATAGCTACTCGAATAAAGATTCTTTAAGATAAACAATGCCTTGAAGTTCTTTGAAGAGTTTCATCTGTCGGAACCATGACAAGTACTTTTAATGAGATTGGCTATAATAGTAGCACCTTGCCAGTCGGACTGTGCTGTACCTCCTCCTCATATTCTGGCTGCGGAATTCTAGGAATTGAAGTCCGCTCATCTTAAAGTGGCTAAGCCTGAGAAACATTGCTCCGATGAGTTAGGGAGGTGCCTGCTAGAGCCACTTCCAAATGTACTCTCATTGTCTTGGACTATAAAAATGTTCCAGCCTCTTTTGCAATGGGACAGTGACACAGGGTGGCATATACATCTAGTAAAATCAATAATAAATATTCCCATTGAGGCCATATTCCTTACTCTCAACAACATTTCACGAAGGCATCCTGTTAATAGCGCAGTGACCACACCTCCTTCTTATCACCCCCAGTTTTAGGCACCTTGGATTTGTACCACTCCTCAGCCTCCTGCAGGTTCTTGACCGCGATGCTTTCATACTGAGTGCGGATCTCTCTCAGGGCGGCGGTCAGATCCGGCTTAGTCTGCTCCACCTCCACTTGCACCTGCTGCTGGCTGTGTATGCTCACTTGCATGTCGTTCAGCTCCTGCGTGCATCAGGCGGGGGGAGGGAGGTTGTCAGACACACAAAGAAAGGTCCTTATAGGGTAAGAATCACACACCTGCCGCCATGCTACACAAACAGGTGAGGGACTGTTAGAGAATCTTAACAGAGAACTGCTCAGACATAACATCACTGCCCACATGGGACAGAGATGCCCAGAAGATATATACCCACTGAGAATTAAAGTTGCAAGAGCAGCCGATCTGCCACTTGCGTTGCTTCTTCAAGTGAATCTGCCCTGCAAAACAACAGTGCAGGACGATCATCCAGTCCATGCATCCAAGGGTGGGGCTGGAGATGCAGATGTTTTCCTGCTAGGCACCACTAGATGGCCCGGAAGCAGCATCTTTGCTGCAGGGTTGCCATAAAAAAAAAAAATGTATCCAAGGGCAAGAAACCTGAGTCACCTTCTAAATGCTGTTGAACTTCCAGCCCCCGCTATCTCTAACTCTTCATCGTGATAAATGGGCCTGCAGGACCTAAAAGCCATAGGGTTTCCTATCCTGGCTACATTCGTCTCCCATCATTCTTCATGAGGCACTTGCTCAGCTCGTTGTGGCACCACCTACCTGTTTCCACAACTGATACTGTCACCTTTGGGAAGGTACGCTACTACCGGTATAGGATGATTTCCTGCAGCAGCCCCAAAAGGGTCCTGTTTCATAGGTCTATGATTGTTCAATCAAGCGAAACGGGCACCAGTTGCACACCAGCCCATTCCTACTCCTACCTCCTCGTGCAGTTTCTTGAGGAATTCGATTTCATCCATGAGGGACTCGATCTTGCGCTCCAGTTCCAGGCGTGAAAGGGTGGCGTCATCCACATCCTACCGGGGGGGGGGCAGGAGGGGGGGGAAACAAAGGCTGGTCAGAACCCCAGCAAGTTGCCCACCGCTTTCCATGTTAATTTAAGGAGTAAAATGGACCCCAGAGAATGGGAAGATGGCCTGGGATGCCAGGGACAGAGCATGCTTCCTTGGTCCAGGTGCTTACGCAGCTGCCAAGCAGAGATTTCAAAAACAAGGCTTGCAGCAGCTTAAAGCACACGAACCCGTGAAAACAAATGTGGAAAGGGAATGCCTTCACTGCCATGTAAACAAGAAAACAAAAAAGAATGACGGTCTGCCCATGGCAGGGGGAGTCATGAATCTGAAAAACACATGCAGGGAGGTGCGTATAAGGGGGCGTGAGGGCCAAGCATGCCATTCCCTCCGCTAGTGCTCTCCCGGTCTAGAAGAGGCTCCGGCTCACCTTGCGGAAGAGAACCAGGTTGTTTTCAGCATCTTCTCGCTTGTGCATTTCCTCATCCATCCTGTAGAGGGCAGAGAGGAGCCCCAAAGCAGAAATTGGGCAAGAGTGCTACAGAATCGGCTGCCTTCATTACACCTATGCGGTCCACAACTCCTAGGCGAACTCGGGTCTTAACCCACAGGATTAGACACCCATTGATTACCAGAAATAATATTCCATCTCTTCTCCTTTTTACTTCTCCTTTCAGGAACCAAGCGAAATATAACAGCTTGGCAAATGTTCTTATACAGGTTTAGATTCAGGCAACATTCTTGCTTCTAGACACCGATCGCGCCTAATTCTTAACCTATGACTATGATATTAAAGGGTTACATAAACCTCCCTGCAACCTAAAATAATTTGACTGTATCAGAGGCACTGTTCAAAACAATAAATAAGTAACAACCCTGGTCACAGATTCTCTGGCCTCTGAGTAAAAAGAAGAAAGCACTAGAAATGGGAGAGAGCGGAGATGCGGCTGGAATGAAGCTAAAGTAGTTTGAAAATAGATTTTAGAAACCATTTTCATTCCATGCTCCTTGCAGAATTAATAATCTATAAGACTATTTTGGGTAAAACAGAAGCATCTTCAAAATGTGGATTTTGGAGGATAACTTCTATTTGTTCCGTCCTGTCCCAAGAAGAAGATGGGGAAGAAAGAGGAGAAGGGGTGGGGTGGGGGGTTGGAAAAGAGGGTGCTCCATAATATTTTGTATGTCTAAATGAGTCTGGCTGCCTCTCTTCCAAGATTCGGCATCTAACATTCGTCTCTTCTTTCCTTCTTCCCACCTCCCCATCTGCCACAGCATGAGCCCTGCCAGCTTGGAGAAGAACCAGCCACACTTCACAAAGCCCAAGGGAACAGAGTCAGGCTTCTCTTCCACTTGAATATAAATATATATGAGAAATAAACGAAAAAGCAGAAAAACGGGTCTGCTGCAAAAAAAAGCAGGCTCCCGCAAGGCCACTGGGGGCCCATTATTACTGTTTGTCCCTGGAGTTTGCAGCCTGGCTGCCAATATCGCCACTGTTCTTTCCTTTACCAGCTTGCATCCATTCCTCTGTGCCCTCTGACAGCCACCCAGAGAGATCCCCAACTAGAGAGGGTCTCTCCTAAAGGTGTCCTCTGCTACATCCCTTCCCTGGGCTTCCCAGATGTCACATGAGATTGCCACCAAGCCAAACATGGTGGAGTTCCAGCTGGGCCAGAAGGTTCCTCCCTCCTCCCACCCCCCCTTCTCTCCGGCCCCACCCCATATTTAGCCCCACCTCCTCTTTTCCAAACGCCTGGAGGTTTTTTGCCTTGCTGCCCTTCAGCAGCCTCCCCCTCCCTCCTCCCCATCACGTCATGTCTGCCAGACTCATCCCCACCACACCCTTCTCCTCCCCCCACCACCCCGAAGCTCAATCACAAGGACCTCTTTTCCATGCGCAGCAGCACACCCACCCCATCTGCATCGTCTCTCCCGTGTCCCAGTCCAAGGCTGGGGAGCATCCTTCCGCTCCAGACTCTGAAATCCTAAAACTCTTCATTGTGGGCACACAGGGTCTGCCTGACAACTATCTCTTCTTCTTCCTAAATGCAACTCTTTGAGAGACCCAAAATTGAGTCTGGGACACAGCTGCCCACAGCGTTCAGAGCAGCTTATTCTTGCGTTAGGAACAGAGCCTAACTTTTTTCTTAAGACAGGAGATAAACCAGATCCAAATCATTACATTCCTTTATCGTCACAGAGGGTAAAAGCCTACAAGGCAAAGACACCAGTCTTCTGACTCTTATGCAGTTATTGCATAATAATTATACACTTTTGCTTTCTGCATAGGTAGCAAAGGAAAAGAATCCATTATGATATATCCATTATTTAGTAGGCATCACATTATTCGGCTCCTACTAATTTATTCATCGTGTTGCAAAGTGCAGAGAGCCATATATATATATATATATATATTTTTACAGTCGGCTTTTTATTTTTCCCCTGTGCCCTTCTCCGGGGCCAGCTGATCTTTCATGTAATCAATCACCCTTCTCTTTGGGGAGTCATTCCAACTCCTCAGCTAATGACCCCCATCACTGGCAAGAAACTCTTCCTTTTCTCAAAGACAGGGAGAGTTTACTTGAGTCTTCTGGCTTCAAGAAAAAGCACTCTGCACATGCTTAAGGCGTTCTCTTTCAGCGCTCCAGAGACAGGGTTTTTAGCAAGCAGGACAGATTCAGCCCAATTTTAAAAGCCGGCATTCCCACTCTTTTAAGACGCCCCCTTACTATTCCGAATGTTCTGTGCTTTTAACCCATTCGTTCCGTCTGCTCGCTTCTCTTCTAAAACCGGAGCGGGAAGCCCAAAGTTCTATTTCAGTGTTTCTCAACCTTGACCATTTTAAGGCATGTGGACTTCAACTCCCAGAATTCCACAGCCAGCAATAGCTGGCTGTGGAATTCTGGGAGTTGAAGTCCACATGCCTTAAAATGGTCAAGGTTGAGAAACACTGTTCTATTTCATTCCCTGGATCCGGGCCGGACCGCCCTTTGGACTTCCCCGCCGCGTCCCGAGTTATCCACCTCGGCTCCGTTTGGGAGTGGTGGGGGGGAGACTCACCTCTGCTTGAGGGCGGCCAAGTCCTCGGCCAGGTTGTCCCTCTCGACTTGCAGGCGGTCGCGGTCCTTGCCCAGCGCGTCCACATGGCGGCGCAGCTCGCGCAGCTCGTCCTGGAAGAGGTCGGAGGCGCGGGTGGGCTCCTTGGAGCGGGACTGGCCCAGCTCGGCCAGCAGGGCGGCGTTCTGCGTCTCCAAGTAGCGCACCTTCTCGATGAAGCTGGCGAAGCGGTCGTTGAGCTCCTGCAGCTCCTGCTTCTCGTTGCTGCGCGTGGCCAGAAACTCCTGGTTCAGGGCGTCGGCCACGGAGAAGTCCAGCTTCTCGGCGCTGTAGGAGTAGCGGGGCGGCGGCGCCGCCACCCCCATCAGCGGGCCGCTGCGCAAGTAGAGACCGCCGCCGCCGCCGCTCCCGCGGTAGGAGCGCAGGGAGGTGGCGGCGGAAGGCGCGCTCAGCAGCCGCGTGGCGGAAGAGGCCGAGGCCAGACGGGACGAGGAGTAGGGCATCGGCGACAGCATGGGCGACGGCCCGAAGGTGCGGCGGTAGGAGGTGGCGCGGATGCTGCCGGAATGGCTCATGGCTGCTAGGCCGGGCTGCGCTCCGAGCAGGTCCGAGCAGTGGGTGGCGGGGAGCAAAAGGCGATGGGTCCGGGGATGCTGCTTTATAAGCGACCGGCCGGGCACTGGAGGGGGGGTGGGTGGGGAGCAGCAAGCTCCTCCCCGCTCCTCCTCTCCCTTGCATGCAGCCCAGACCTCCGCACTGCAGCCCGCCGACGGGGGAAGGGAGCCACCCAGCCACCGCGTCCTGCAAAGGCTGCTCGCTCCGGGCGGGGGAGGTGGAGGAGGAGGAGGAGGAGGAGGGCGCTCACCCGAGCCACCCGCCCTGCTCCCTCTCCCATCCAGGCGACCCGGCCCACCCTTTGGCCGGACGGCATCTGGGGCCCGGTGCCGCCTTCCTGAAGCGCCCCGTACCAAAGTCCACGACGGCGCGGCGCTTACTTCTGAATAAGTGTCCGGTCGGTTGCCTCTGGGACACCCCCCGATTCCCGGGACGGGATTTCCTCTTTTCTGGGAATGGGAAGGGGGCGCGGGAGAGAGTTGTGCGGTTATGGGGCGCGGGGGAGGGGGAGGCTCTTGCCCCATCGTGGCAGGAGGATGAGCACCTGACGTCTCTTCCCAGTTCTGGAGTTGGAAACAGACCGCAGCAACAAGCCGGGTTCGCTCCCTGTCTGAAACCGGCGTTGGAGGCAGAAGAGCAGGGCAGAAATAAGATGGCGTTAAGATTAATGCACCTGTATTTTTAGCAGGGGGGAGTTTTCCGTGGATCCCTAAAACTGCGGTTTACTTTAAAAAGAACAGGGACCGTCGGTCGTATTCGGATCCCCCATAATCATTCTGCAGTAGAAGCTGTATCTTTTTTTGATCTGGGGGTGTTCTGCTCTGGAATGGGAAATAAGTGCGTTGCATTCCAGAAAAGGCACAGCGGAGAGCGAAAGGCTGGGCATGATCTAATCCTTGAGAAAGGAATGATTCCCCCACCAGTCCTATTTTTCAGGATTGCTTCTTTTTGCCTCTGACGATTTACCTTCTTCGCACATTGTGTTCTCTGCCTCTGCCTGCCATTTCTCAGGAGCTGTGGCAAAAAAAAAACCTGATTCACACTCAGTAAGGAGAGCTTCAGAAGAGAAGTTGGGTCACCACACCAAGTGTTCCCTCACTTTGAGAAAGAGGTTTGCTCACTGCGTGAAACGCTGGACATGCAGTCTGTTGCACACAAAAGATGCAAGTCATGGGCAATGCAGACAACTGAACTTCAACAGCACACACCCACCTTGCCAGCGCCCACAAGATACTGGTGTAGATATCAGGTCTAAAAGCTGTTCTTCTTCCCCTGGTGGCTGCGGAAAGAAATTGCAAAAAATTGTGATGGTTAAAAAAAAAATGGAGAACTTGGCACATTGTCCCAAGCTAGATTTTCTCTCTCTCTCTCTCTCTCTCTCTCTGGCATCTCTCTGTGTGTATAAATAGATATGGATGGACACACCCTCACAAATGATTGCAATATATATACTATCATCCCACACCTGTGAGAGGCTAGAAGCTTTGATCAAAAGTATTGCACACAAAAGCCTTTGAATATTTGTTGAAGAGGAACGAAAGAGCCTCTTGATGCGGGTGAAGAAGGAGAGTGCAAAAGTTGGCTTGAAACTCAACATTAAGAAAACCAAGATCATGGCATCCGGCTCTCTCAATTCCTGGCAAATAGATGGGGAAGAAATGGAGGTAGTGACAGATTTTATTTTCCTGGGCTCCAAGATCACCGCAGATGGGGATGCAGCCAAGAAATTAAAAGACGCTTGCTCCTGGGGAGGAAAGCTATGGCAAATCTAGACAGCATACTAAAAAGCAGAGACAACACCCTGCCAACAAAAGTGCGTATAGTCAAGGCCATGGTTTTCCCAGTTGCAATGTATGGATGTGAAAGTTGGACCATAAGAAAGGCTGAGCGCAAAAGAATTGAGGCCTTTGAACTATGGTGCTGGAGAAGACTCCTGCGAGTCCCCTGGACTGCAAGGTGATCAAACCGGTCAGTCCTAGAGGAGATCAACCCCGACTGCTCCTTAGAAGGCCAGATCCTGGAGTTGAAACTCAAATACTTTGGCCACCTAATGAGAAGGAAGGACTCACTGGAGAAGAGCCTAATGCTGAGAAAGATTGAGGGCAAGAGAAGAAGGGGACAACAGAGAATGAGGTGGCTGGACGGAGTCACTGAAGCAGTAGGCGTGAGCTTAAATGGACTCCAGAAGAGGGTAGAGGACAGGAAGGCCTGGAGGAACGTTGTCCATGGGGACGCGATGGGTTGGACACAACTTCGCAATTAACAACAACAATGGGATCCTTGGTGCTCTCTGAGGTTAGTTGTTTTCTTGCAGAGGTTTCATTATCCATTACACTGCCCAGAGTCCCACTGTGAAAGAGATGGGTGGTTCTTAAATAGGACAAATAAAACTAAGTGACAACATCAGTGCTTGAAGGGAGTGGGGTTTGCTCTCTGTATAAGGAGAAAACAACCAAGGTCAGAGAACACCAAGGAACCCAGAGTTCAATCCTGAGCTGAAAATATTCTCTTCTGTGGGTACTCGTTCTTGTTTTCCTCTCCTTGTGCATTTATTTGCTGCTCATTTCTTGCCAGTAGCCTTGATGCAATGATGAAACTGAGGCTGGGCCTTGTAGCCAAAGCCCAGGACCTGCCAACTTTCCATTTTATTTATTTACTTCTCAGGAGATAGGCTCATAATTCTAGGCAACGTCCAGTAAACACAATAAAATAGTAATAAAAACAAATTATTACAAGCATTAAATCCTAGGAAATAACTGTTAATAAAAACTGTTGCTATGATCCAGCAAATCTGAAGCTGTCCTGAAGAGGACCTGTTTTGCTCTTATGGGAAATACCGCCGTGATAGGGACACGTCTGACTTCAGAGGACAAGCTGATCCAGAGAGAGGGTTCTACTGTGGAGAATATTGTACCTGGAGCATTCTCTTTACTGGATTGTGTAGAGGGGGGGGGGAGGGTTGTATGCAAAGAAGATGCTACTGAACATAACAAGGGTCCGGGACATAAGGGCTTCATAAGTAATTGGCAGCACTTTAAATTGAGCCTGGAATCCTATCAACAGCCCATGCAGTTTCTGCAGGATGTTATTCTGCTAAACTGGCTAATGCTGCAGCTTCCAAGTCATCATCCAGAGCAGCTCCATATAAAGCAAAGTGTAGTAATCTAGCAAAAATATATTTACAGTGCCTTCTGGTCCAGGACATAGGGCAACTAATAGATACACCCCAACTTTGGCCAAAGGCTCTCTTGGCCATGTTTTTCATATGCTGTTCCAGCAGAAGCTATGAACCCAGAAGTATCTCTGGCTCCTTCAAGTGTCATCCTATCATCTTATCATTATAGATGGAACATCCATGGTGCCAAAAGGTTTATGAATCACCAAAAATTCTGGAATGTGCCCTATCGGATCACTGGCAGCCTCAGGACTTTTTCATATCTCCTGTTTAGTCCGATGTTCATGTGTAAAGCTGGATACAGACAGTCCTTGACCTATGACTGGTCAAATTTATGACCAGCCTCCAAAGTTCTAGTGGCTGCTCCCTGCCAAGTCACATGTCCGCGTTTCGGGTGCCCAGCAACTGGCCTGCATTTATGATGGTTTGCAGAATCCCACAGGCACATGAATGTGATTTACAATAATTTTGCCTCAAACCGGCATTTACTTCCAGTTTTTGACAAAAATGGCCTATAACAGTGGTGGCGAACCTATGGCACGCGTGCCAGAGGCAGCACTCAGAGCCCTCTTTGTGGGCATGCGTGCTGTGCCCCGGAGATGGCCAGGGACTGGCCCCTGCCGCCCTGGCCCCACCCACCCAGTCTGCCATGACCACCGTGGCCATGCCCACCCGGCCCCCGGTGATAAATAAATGGGTTTTGGGTTGCAGTTTGGGCACTGGGTCTCTAAAGGCTTCGCCATCACTGGCCTATAATGAACAATAGGTTTGCTTAGCAACCTTCACTTAATCACAGCCACAAAAAAGTCATATAAATGGGTCCAGTTACATGGTGACTTGCTTTCGACCGTCATGACTTATGACTGTAATGGGCAGGATCCATTACAGTTATGAGTTGAGGACTACCTGTATTACCAACCTATTCATGATTCCTAATCCCAAAGATGTGGATGTCCTTTCCCAGAGTTTTAATGTTAGATGTCAATAAAATGGGAGAGAGGTTCAAGTCCTGGGGCATCCCATATTGAAGTCCCAAGGACTGTACTTCTCCTTCCCCAACATCATCAACTTGGAAAGAAGAGCAAAATGGTCCTTCAATTCCCAACTCTCACAGGCAGTCCAAGTTTACTAGAACCAATGCTGACTCTTTGCATGAGCATGCTGGGATCCGCCCTGGCCAGTGTTATTCACCACAGCTTCCTTTCTTTGTATTTTTAAAAAACATCATCCTAGATCAGGAATGGCTGGGCAGAAAATATTTGCACTGCATTCCGTTCAATTCAGTTCATTTAACTATAGTCATTTTCTACAACAAAGCATTTTTGGTGCCAAATAAGTAAGTTTAGCATTTGGCCAGCAGAAAACTCCTTGTCATTCTATTTTGAATTCACTTCCTGACTAAAATGAATTTAAATGGCAAAAATACACATACTCAAATGATCGCTTTTTATGAGTGGTGGGAAAAAAGGGGCATTTGCTTTAATAGCTAAAAATATACAATAGCTCTAAAGGACCATTAGGGCAGGAAAGGGAGAAGGCTGAAGAAAAATGTGCTTGACGCACAAATAATCCACTGAGCATTTACACAGCATTAATCCAAAGATTAGAAATCCCTTGCAGCTCCTATTTTGATATCTTTTTCCATCTAAAAATAATTTTCTCCGAACACACACAAGAAAGTCTAGAAAATCTTGATATGCCTTTGCTTTCCTGCACATAACCGTCAGCAGTACATGCTGCCTATATACAACATGGAAGAACCTTGTGGCACTATGAAGACTTATC